GGGTCGGGGGGCGCGCTGGGGGGGCTTAGTCCGTAATGCCCCCCGCTCGTTATCGGCGGCTCGACGGCGGGGACCCAGCGTGAGCTGCGTGAGAGCCACGCCCCTCAACCCGGCCACCGTCACCGTCACGGGGACCCAACGGCCGAAAATGGCGTGCGAATAGGCCATTCTACCGAATGGGAAAGAGAAAAGAGTCAAAAAGCACACGAAACAGTATTTCTAAACATATGTTAAAATTTTCTGCTTCTTCTGGGAAAATTAATCAATATGGTGGACAAGTGTGATCTATATCAGGTGGCTGACTCACGCGGCGCACTTTCGTAAGTTATACTGAACCGCATGCGCGAGTGCGGGCGGGTTTGCCTAACCTCGCTGTCCACAGCTCCTTATAGCCCCGAGCGTATAGGCAACCCGCCCGCACTCGTGCATTCTTGGGTACTGTGTAACTATGAAAATGCGCGGCGTGAATCAGCCACCTGGTATGTACTGTTTTTTGGAACTGTTTCCCTTACTTTATGTTTCTTTTCTTTCTTCTTCCACATTGGGTGGGATGGTCTAAATCCGTGGGGATACCATGGGTCCCCACAACACTTGGGGCCGCCACATGGGGAACCCCATCGTGTGCGCACGTGAAGGTAAGCCATGCAGGGGGCGCTCTGAATATCGTGCGCTTTCGGTCGTCGTGGAAAACCACCAACCTTTGGTCGGCACTGTCCGCAGGGTTTTCTAAATTAAGGAGGTTGCCCCTCCCGGGCCCCACCCCTCGGCGAAGTTGTTTGTCGTCCAGACCGACGGCGCACTTGGCGTGCAGCTCGACACCTCTTCGGCGGCGCGCCGCCCCTGCCCTCGCGTGCCTATGGCGGGACTGCATTCGCAGCCGTCGCCCATTTTCATAATTTTATTTATAGCCCGTGAGCTCCCCCACGCCAAAGCCAAATGTCGGGCGTCTGCTCCGCGTCTCGCGCAGCTTCGACCTTTTCGAGTTGGAGAGGACCGAGTATCGCATTAGGTCTGCCGGGGGCGGTCGGGGGCGTGGCATGGGGGCGGCGCGGGCGCGGGGGTTGGTTCCGTTAGGGGGTGTTGTAGGCTCTGGGCGTGGGCGGAAGAGAGCGAACGAGAGAGAGGGAGAGAGGAGGCGTGCTGGAGAACACGTCCGCACCCCTCCCCTCGGTCCAGTCGCTCTCACTCGCACTCCATCCATCGCCCACGCGACTCACTCCAGCCCTGCGACATCTGCCGTCGATAGAAGTTGGAGTCGGCCGCGGCCCCAGCTGGAGCTGGGGGGGGGGGGGCGTGAGCTGGGCGTGAGCCATGCGGCGTATGTGCGACAGCGCCCCCCACAGCTCTCCCCTGCAGAACGACGTGAACATGGGCTCCCTGGAAAGTTTAAGAGCTCCACAACCGCGTCCCTTTGCGCCGCCGCCGTCGTCTCGACTGGACCCTGTCATTTCATTTCCGAAAAACGACTAGAAACTCGATATAAAAACACGACGATCTCGTGATGACGTAGTTCGGCGTGTCAGCGGCTCGGCGGCGACCGCATTCGATTGCTTAACGCGACCGACCCTTTGTATACAGAAACCGCACAGCGGCAAGAGGATAAATGCTGGAGACGATTACGATCTCCTGCGAGACTTTTACTCGGCTTTCTGATCTCCCGCACCGCAGGGGGCAGCGCAGGCAGAGCGCGGAGCCTGAGCGGTGAGCAACCGCAGGCGAAGGGTTATTGTCAGAGCCGAGAATGTGTGCTTGATGTGAGACAGGTGTAGACCATAAGTAGGCAACCCACACTGCAGCCGCAGCTCGACAGCGTCCTCTCTCGCCCTCTGCGCGTTCGCCAGTTCACCCTTTTCACCCTATCCTTCCCGTCGACATCGAGACTATATACGCTGCGCCTCCGTCAGCTAATTGTCTAGTCTGCTCTCTAGAAGTTGGCAAACCTCCTGGAACAAACGCTTTGGAAGGCGCGGGGCTCGTCTCGAACTCTCTAATCTCGTTGGCTGAACGAACTCCCCTCTCCCCCTCCCCCTCCCTCCCTCTACTGCCTCGCGCACGGCACGAGCTCGGCAGCAGCGAGGCGCTCGCCCCGCCGCCCGGCTCGGCTCGGCTCGGCCGGGACCGCGGCGCGTGGCTCGGCTCGGCTCGGCTCGGCACGGTGCGCAAGGTGTGGGGTTGCAGCCCGGGGCGGCGGCGGCGGCGGCGGCGGTGGCTCGGATCGGAGGTGGCCGCAGTGGATGTGGTCAGGACGAGAGGCACACTTCCTCACAAGTGACGGAGCCGCACAGACCTCACCTCAAGTCAGTCACAGTCACTGCCGTGACACCGCCGCGTTCAGACGCAGACGTCCTGCCCGTCCTGCCGCCCCCGAGCGCGCTCCGCAGGCCCGCGCCGCTACGTCGGGTGACCCGCCCCATTGTTGCCGAGACGCCCTGCTGCTACGCCCGGCGCCGTCACCAACATGCCAGTCGCGGACGAGTCCGTCGCCTTCCAGCACCGCCGGCACCACAGCCTGAGCTGGGACCTGGAGCAGAGCGAGGTGCCCTTCCAGTACGTCAAGCTCAGCATGTTGTGGGACGACAAAGCTGTAAGTATCCGGTGTCCTGCCTCGCGCGTCCGTCCCCAGCGGCCCGTCCCGCCCGGCCCACTTGTTGAGGGAGTTGGGGGGTTCGGGGGGTCCCCTGCTTATTGCAGTGCGTCTGTATGATCAGAAAGCTGTCATCCTGGACCCGATCGCCGTTCTGCACCCCGACTGCTTGTCCTTTGTCACCCCACCACTTGCGGCAGGATTTGTTTTGCATCACTTTTGAGGTTAGGTTTGCACAAATTTGGCTTTCAAGCCTCGAGTCGTTAAGGTACGAGATTCCTCCTGCCATTCTGTGCGTGCCTTAATCCTGCTCTCCCTTTTATTAGTTACGTTTCACTCGTGGTTTCAAGGTTGCGTGACGAATTGGGGACGAAATTCTGTCTCGCGATTGTGGGTGCCGCACTGAATCACTGAATCCTGAAAATGCGGCAATCTTTCGGCCTTACGCCAGCAGCGGGCACGTCCCTTGAGATGTCGTTGTAAGTCAGTCCGCCTAGACAGGCGTGTTTCCTACTTTACAACGAGCTCGTGAATGCGGTTGTTACTCTGTGACGAAACGGTTGGTAATTCTGTATCGCCGAGTGTGCCGTGTGCCCAGAGCAGTGCGGTGGCGGTTTGCTTGTGCACCCATCTCCGGCCGCGGCGTCTGTCTAGTTCGAGTGTGTCCCGTCCCGTGTGTGTTCTGTTGTTGGACATTGTTGTCGGGTCGGAGGGGGGCAGCCGCCCTTGCACCCCCTGGACCGCTAGGCCCGCTGGGATGGAGGTTGTCACCTCTGACCTCTGCTACCCTGCCGCCGCTCCTGCGTTGCCGTTCCCTTCCACCGTCGACCAATGTTCTCTGCTCTGCGGGGGGAAAAATCGACGTCCTTTGATTGTCGTGGGTGCCCTTAATCCACCCTTAAGGTCGTGCGTGCCTGGGTAAAGAGAAAAGGTGTGTGAGAAAGAGACGTAGCGATAAAAAGAGAGAGAAAGGGAGAGAAATTTGGGGGAGGGGGGGGGGGCAGGACCGTTTGGGGCTTATCGTTGGGTTCTGGGTTTGATGTGTACAGGGGTCCGCCCTGGAAGGCTTCCACTCCGGGCCAGCCGAGCCGGGGTAACCCCGCGAGGGTTGGGGCGCTCCGGGCGGGGCGGGGGGCCGCGGGGAGGGCCGGGGCTGGCCGGGGCCGCGCACAGCACACAGCAGGAGCAGGGGCACTCGGGGGGCCCCGAGCGCCACCCCCTGGAGCGTACAACGTGAGGCCGATTGTTCCAGGGCAAACTCTCGGGGTTGTCGTTTCCGCGAAAAAAGAGTCTCTTAATCAGTACTGGAACGGATGCCAGCAATGTTTACCAACCCCGGGAAACTTTCAGCGTCGGGAAGAGACAGCCACAAGGGCAGCGGTTCTCAACCTTGGGGTCGCGACCCCAAATGGGGTCGCGAATTTTTTTTGTGGGGTCGCGGCGAGGTGCCTGGGGTCGCATGGGGTCGCGGCTTGGCAGAAGCGACATTTTCTGACTTGACATATCAAGAACTAACACAGAAATAGACTCGACCTACAGTATGACCTGCGTGTGGCGGCGCACACAAGGAAGTCACTGGAAAAAATCCGTCAAGTCCACATTTTCAATGTGGCTTAAAAGGGCTTCGCGTGCTTGGTGTGGGCTATGGGCCGACGAAACGCAGGCACAGAAGGA